CAATAATACTATAACTATAATAATAATAATAATAATAATAATAATAATAATAATAATAATAATAATAATAATAATAATAATAATAATAGCAATAAAATATATGCGGTGTATTTTACAGTACGGGGTCTAGAGAGGATAATATGTATATAGACCTTATCCTTACCTTATAGAGTTAAAAAAACTGTCTCCGATAGTCTTTAGGCTCAAGAAAAAAAGTAATAAAAAGTCATGTTAAAAATAGTGAAGATAAGAATAGTAACAAATAGTAAAATAGATAAGAAAATTTAAACGAGAGAAAACAAATAGGTAGTAATAGAAATCAAGACTACGATAATAGGAGAAAGTGGTAAATTTCACAAATGATCATATAACTATGACTTTATTTTTTACCAAATTAGTATAACTATGTTTTCTCACACAAAAATAATATAACTTTCACTAACTCACACAAAAATCAACAACAACAACAACATACCCAGTATTATCCCACACCGTGGGATCTGGGGAGGGTAGTGTGTATGTAAACCTTACTCCTACCTTGTGAGGATAGAGAAGTTGTTTCCAATAGACCTTCGACTCAAGAAAGCATAAGCATTACATTAATCAAAAATATAGACAAGAAGAGACAGTACTAAAAAGACATATAAAAGCAGAATAAACAAGATAGTAAGGTGATCAACAATGGAAGAAAACAATAGTTAGTCATAAAAACCTACTACCAACAGAAAGCGAGACTGTGTTCCAATACTACTGTTATGATCACTCTAGGCTACCTACTCTACTACCCTAATCCTTGGCCTCCATACCTTCCTATCAAGGGTCATATCCTCGGTCAGATGAAGCTACGTCATGTCTTGCCTAATCACCTCTGCCCACCTCTTCTTTGGCCTACCTCTACCTTTCCGTAGGTCTTCCAATGTCAACCTCTCACACTTCCTCACCGGAGCGTCTGTGCTCCTCCTCCTCACATGACCAAACCACCTAAGCATTGCTTCCCGCATCTTGTCCTCAATAGGGGCCACACCCGAATAACTTCACTTCTGATCCTATCTAACTTGGTGTGCCCGCACATCGATCTCAACATCCTCATCTCTGCTACCTTCATTTTCTGGACATGAGCGCTCTTGACTGGCCGACACTCAGTACCATACAAAAATCAAGTGACTTAAAAACATAACTTTCCGAAAATTTTAGGTGGTTTTATTATTTTTATTTTAATAAACAATAACCCAATTAAAAGAGGAATGACCTGACCCAATCAGACATAAAATCCACATAAATAGATAAAAATAATACTAAAAGTGAACTAATTATTCTCTCAAAATATAAGGTACTTCTATCTTTTATTTTTTGTTTGAATATTTTCATTCAATTGGTAGCGATTGCTGTTTTTAGAACTCTCTAATTGTTAATACCTTTTTGGGGGTCAGAATATCATGCAAATATTTCAAAGAAAGAAAGAAATATAACATGGTTAAGCATTAAATAGATTGTATTCATAGAATATATAGCGTGGCGTGAATTAGATAATGAATAAATAGGAGTTAATATCATTTCAATTGTCATTACAAAAGTAATTAGTATTTTTAGAATTAAAAGATATTATTGGCCGATAATTATTTCAAAAAATACTATCAATTGGCAACAAAACCACTCATACATGGTAATGCAAGAAAAGCCATAAAAAATCCACTGAACATCGCGAACATTTTTGAAGTACTATATCCTTATATCTTTGAAGTATTTTGTATGATAGTTTTAACCAAAAAAAGTATGGATAATTTCTTGAAACAATAATCATTGTCGATTCAATGATGGTTAAATAAAAAAAAAAAGAGTTATAGAGTGGTTCGCTCGGGCCAGTATGGCACCAGGTGCGAGCCTGCGTTCCCAGATTTGGAGCGTGACAAAATTCAAAAGTCGAATCAATGAATACTGGGTGAAATATGGGTCCTCATGGTTTGACTATGGAGGTTTTGAAACTGTCTGTAGCGTTAAAGGACGAAGACAAAATAAATTAGGCATTAAATGACGGTGTGTATAGGAACCCGCTAATTGCATAGGCTACTGGGTGAAATAGCTTGGGCCGGGTATGGGAATTCGCTACTAATGAGTGGGCCACGTAAATAATCTGGGCCACATAGGTAGGAACAATAAATAGTTTGGGCCTGGATATTAAAGGATAAATAGTTTTGGCTTAACATGTATAAAATGAGATTTTCTCATTATTTTTACGGGAAGTTAATAAAGTTGATTGCGAGATAAAAAATCATGAAGACCGTAAGAAAAATAGTAGATAATATTGACCAAGAACAACTTATCGAACGAATCTGGTAAGTTCGAAAAATGAAGAAATAATTTTAGTAAAACCAAATATATCTCACAGGGGGAAGGGGCATATTCACCCGTTTTGCCGTCAAGACCAATTTCTCATGTGCGCAAGGCCACTCCCTTTTACTAGTCCTTTACAAGTCAAACAAAGATCAATTCAATATAAAAGAAAAAAAAAACTTTCCACAACCAATGAGGGACACTTTATCTTTCACAAAAATAAATAAATAAATAAAGAAGGAAAAGGGACCACTAAAAAATCTTTGACTTTACGTTACAAAGTATAAATAATACCAATGGGAATGAAAGTGCTTGGAGATTCAAAAAACAAAACAAAAGCAACGAAACTGCCAAGTAATTCATAAGAGAGTCAAATCAATAGCCGTCTAATGCTATTTATTGTCATTTTCTGTGGAATTTATTTGGCAAGAACAAATGCATCATTTTAGGGGACTCATAAGCAAACTAACTTCATCCTCTGCGCCTCTGAAGAAAGGCTGAAGAAAGAGCAATACTATTTGAAGAATGGAAGTGCAGTGCTAGAGGAGCTTATTGCTTTATGCGATGGAAAAAGCAGAATTCCCCTTCGTTACTTCAGTGCCATAGAAATCGAGAGGGCAATTGAACATTCAGAAAAGTCATTATTTAACAACTACAGAGGACATACGGTAAAAGGCTTACTAGACAAACGCTTTGTTTTGGTTTACTTCACCTACGATACTTTGGTTGAAAATTCCAATGATATATGTCATGATATAGCAATTACTTCTCAAATGAGCCATCTTAATAACGTGCTTAAACTTATTGGTTGTTGTCTAGAATATGCAGTACTTGTTCTAGTGTATGAATAGGTTGAGGCTATAACTCTTCACGATTTACTTTTTCATGCTAGAAATTCATCAGTATCTTGGGAAAGTAGATTGCGGATTGCCAATGCGATTGCTTCAGCAATTCTTTATCTCCATAGTGAATTTACTACGCCCATTATTTACGTAGGCTTACGCTCAAAAAAGGTGTTAATAGATCAGAACAGTGGAGTTGCCAAACTATTTGACTTTTCATTGTCCATATCATTGCCTCCAGGAGAGTTGGAAGTAGAAGCAAAAGGTGCGCTCGGAACATTTGGTTATTTAGATCCAGAATATCTCCGCTCGGGTGTTGTTACTCAAAAGACTGACGTCTTCAGTTTCGGAGTTTTTCTCTTTCAGCTATTGACCGGAAAGAAAACGTTTATTGTTAATGGCGAGCTGAGTGACAAGTACTACAACACGTTCAATATTGAAGAGTGTAATATAATGGATATAGTGGATCCTGCAATTTTGGAAGAGAATGGAATTGAGATTCGACAACAATTGAAGGACTGCTTGGATCTTGTTAAGAGATGCACACTATCAAATGGAGAAGATAGACCATACATGATTCATGTTGCAAAGGAAATACGCCGAATTGAGAAGCATTTTCGTGCCCTCACTCAAGGTCTGAATTAGATCTCTAAAACTCAATTGCACCTCACTTTGAAGCAGGAGAAATCAATTTGTGGCATGACCACATTCATGTAATTGTAATTGTGAATTTTATTAAAGTTTGTGCCAAATCAAACTAAGATAATCTTTTTTAAACAGAGGGGAGTAGTAATCTAGGAGTCACCACTAGTAAGAGGTGTGGTGGATGAATGGATTCATCTACCCTTACTCAGAGACCTCAAATTTCAGGAAAAATCTCTCTTTGTGTGAACTAGTCTTAATGCAGGGGCCTTAAATTCAACAAGGCTTGTAGTTTGTACTCTTCCTCGTGCATTTGAATTCCACACAAAATGACAATAAGTAGCGTCACTCAGACGGCTATTGACTTGACTCTCTTCTTAATTACTTTCTGGGTAGTTTCACTGCCCTTGCTGTGTCTATTGAATTTCCCTGCACTTTCATTCCTATTGTTTATGTTGCTACGTGATTATTCTTACAGAAAAATTTATAAGCAATGTTAAAGTTGTCCCCGTGTGATCTATAGGTCACGCGCTCATCTGTAAGCAGCCGCTAATGCTTGTATTAGGATAGGTTGTCTACATCACACCTATTGGGGTGCTACCTTTCCTCAAATTCTGCATGAATGGAGAATGTTTTATGCACCGGGTTGTACTTTTTTTAGAATTTAACTTGTTAAATTTGGATGACTTGATATGGATTGGGTACTTGCACCATTTTCAGCAAAATCACTCTTTTTTTAAATATTAAAAAAACAAAAAAAATCTCGCCCACGTTTCAACTTTTATTAAATTTACTGGTCTTGCTATCAACTACTCTCCTTGTTCTAAATTAAATATTCTAATTTAACTTTACGTTTTTTTAATACATTGTTAAACACTAATATTTAGCAAAATCTTTCATAATCTACATGACTTAAATCCTCAAGAGTAAAAACTCCATTTCCTTGAGCACATCTTCCGACATCAACAAATCTTTTTCATGTGTACATTTCTTTGCCTTCCTCTACCTGTGTACAATAGTGGCATTCTTAGCTTCTAGCAAACATTTACGATTTCAATGACAGAAAAAAAAAGAGAGCAACTTCAAAAGTGAAAAAGCAGCAAGTAGTCTATACAAAACAAGCTATTCTTCAAACAATGAACTTCACANAATTTCAATGACACACACACACACACAGAGAGTCCATACAAAACAAGCTATTCTTCAAACAATGAACTTCTCACACAAGAAGGTTCTGCTCTATTAAGATTATACATCAAACAACAACAATCAACAAGTTTGTAACAGCTATCAGTAAAGAGTTGGTTCCTGCAAACTTTCAAAATTCACTGATGCATTATTCCTTGCAGTCGCGATACAAAAGATGTTCAAGAATAGTAACCCGTCAATCTGCATGAAGAACCAAGAAGATCTTTAAATTGTGTACCTTTTACGAATGCAATAACAGAACAGGATCGCCAGAGTAGGACATCATAGGGTGTTAAAAAAGGATCGAAACAGCATTGGCTGATCCACCAGAGAGGAAGGATGTAAAAGATGTGCATTAGCAGGACTTAAGCCAAGACCAATCAGTTTTCAAGCTATACAAATAACATTCCAAAATCCATTCTTCGAATTGAGCAATGCAATATTGTTGAGAGCCCCATTACTGAGTATCAATAGCCAACTCTCACATCTGTGTTCATCGCAAAGAAGATTATATGTTGCACGGATTCATTGTAATAAAAAATTGGCAGTAAAAGAGCTCATGTAACACAATGGTACAATTACCATGTCTTTCATTCTCACCAATTTATACATGTAACATAGAGGTGACTAATATTAACAATCCAAAATTTAAACTTCATGCAGAAAGCTAATGAACAGCTAAACCTCCAGAAACAAGAAGAAAATCAGTCAAAGATTTCACATGGACTTCACTGGCTCATTAGTCAATAATCATTACCTGTGAAGCTTTTTTGCCTCAGAGTTTGGCTCTCAAACTTTTTCGTTCCCATTGTCGTGAAATTTGCTAGGCCAAGATTTAGTTACTAAATCAAGTAAAACCAAGCTCTCCTTGTATGCAAATAGTTCTATCATCTCAGGATTCCCTTGGAAGTGAAGATCTTGAAATTGTTGGTTTATAGGGTCATAAATAGAAAAGTCGCCCTCAATGGATTCGAATATAACCTCACCATTCTTCATAAAACATAGGGGCCAACAGATTTTGAATGAGCAATCAATTTTAAACTGAGGGCACCAAACTTTTAAAGAACAATCTTCTTTCAACATCCAAATATGCCACCAATCTAGTGATTCAGGGCCGTGAACAAATAGGTAAAGTGAATCACGAAATACTGCTAACGATCCAGTTAATGCACCATCGTCGAGGCAAGACTTTGGCAGCTTTATTTCTTCAAAAATGTGGCCAGCCATATCGAAAAATACAATAAAGTCATCATATACAGTTTCGTTAACATTTCTTGCAACCCAATATATCGATCCATCTAGAAATGCCTTTGCCATATGGCTTGTAATAAAGTATGAAAGATCAATTTCAATCTTTGTCCAAGAATCTGTTTTCAATGAGTAAACTTCAACAATAGGCGGAAGTTTTGGGGGGTCTGTTAGATTCATTTGCTCAGAATACAAAATCCTTACCACCTTATATTCATCCAATTTAGGAATGTAACCAAACCCAAACACCACATGAACAGGAATGTCAGGAAGCTGAACAGTAGAACTGCTAAGATTCTTGACTATTTTTGTGGCTGGATTCCAAAAATACATGTTGCAATCAGATCTAGGAGTTATAGGGTAAAGAAGAAAGAGAACACCATTGCAACAGCCAAAGACTTCAAAACTTTTAGTCGATTCCCACAAAGGAAATTCCGGGTTCTTGTGCNAATGAACAGGAATGTTAGGAAGCTGAACAGTAGAACTGCTAAGATTCTTGACTATTTCTGTGGCTGGATTCCAAAAATACATGTTGCAACCAGATCTAGGAGTTATAGGGTAAAGAAGAAAGAGAACACCATTGCAACAGCCAAAGACTTCAAAACTTTTAGTTGATTCCCACAAGGGAAATTCCAGTTTCTTGTGCTCGGCAAATGTTTCATCACAGTACAAAGTGCAACATTCTTTTTCCCCAACATCTAAGATATCTTTACTTATCAAGTAGCTTTTCTTATATGATGAATGCTGATTCATATGCATGTTAACAAAATGAGGATCTCTAATAAGATTAAACCAAGATTTGCAAACAGACCTGAATTGCATGAGAGCTTTGACAGGAAGTCTTGACAAAATGTTTGTCATTTCATCACCAGGTGGATCAGCAGAGATCATCGTGCTTATTAAGATGGTAACGGCAAAAGAAGTGCCAAAAGATTGGCCTGATGCCTAGCGGATTTGAACAACTTTTACAAGATCAAAGGAACAGGGAAATTAGCACCAGTAAATGAAGCACTTACAACTCTACCAATTAGGCAAGGTCATAAGTGAAAGAGCGACAGAGAAAAAACTTTCAAATCTGGGAAAAATATGAGGACTAGAGACACCACCGAAACAAAGATAAGCATGGATACATCGAAGATGACAACTGTCGTGCTGAAGAAAAAGAGGAAGAGTGGTGAACAAAAGGAAGGTGGAAGTTGGAGAAACCGACAACAATTAATGGGAAAGCGGAGGTGAATAAAGAGATTGACACGGAGCAACCGAAAGGATAATAAAAGAAAAGTAAGGGTCTAAGGGAAACAAATAGGATATGGACAACAAAATCACTCAAAACAATGTATCTACAATGAAATAGATATTGAGGGAGAGGTGGAGCTTGGATTCTATATAAACCTTCTCTACTTAGTTAACATTAGTTACCAAGTTAAGATGATGCCTTATTTTGCTAAGTTAGGATCCTGATAACATCATAAATGTTAGCCACTGAACATGTTACCATTCTCAAAATGAAAAAAAAAATGTTAGCCACTGAAATATTGTATTTCAAGAAGATTGGACAAGGATGAGAGTATTAGAGAAGTGGTCAGTTAGAAAATATGAAGCGTACATAAAACTGAAAAGGTCCTAATTACCATAACCAATACCATATGATTTGACATGTGTAAGAAAAACAGTTGATCATGTTTAATACCTCATCATTTGTCAACTTATCATCAAAGGAAAGTGTTATCGGTACATGTTTTCAAAGACCAAAAGTTTCGTCTAAGGCATTGACCTACTTAATCCTTTTCTGCTGAAGAACAGAAAATAGAAAGACCTATTTGTGCACACTGAACAGTATGATACAACAGATGTGTGAGCAATGAAACAGACATACTCACGCTCAATCTTTATTAAGGCGAGCTACTATAGTTTTCATTTAATGAAAGTTTAATCAGATAAAAATGATCTTCTAACTATGAACCGCTAACACATGGTTGTGAACACCCTTAGATTGCTGTGTCCTATGAAAGGAGCACGTTGAGTCTGTCCAAATAGATATTAACTACTAGTCATATGCAGAAAGTATCCCCTTATCTGCAAATCACACAGAAGGCTAAAATGTATATAGTAATTAATTTAGTAAATTTAGAAGCAAAGTCCATCACTAGTTATACTCCACTATTGATTGCACTAGTTCCACAGTGCAACAAATTATTAATAATCTTCCCCCCAGGTTTATCCTGGCAGCTAATTTCCTCTTTTCTCTTTTTGTCTGTTTCTCACGCAATGTCCGGTACGCGTTTTGGGCCCGACTAATCAGGATTCGTGCCGTAAAGTTCCACTTTGGAGGTAAAGCACTCCTTACCAAAGGCGACTCCATACCCAAACCCGAGACCTCTTGTTAAGACTGAAAGAGTACTTACCACTACACTACCCTTTGATGGTGATAGCTAACTACCTTCCTCTTGATCATTTAATAAAAAATTAGGATATCCTGAGCTGCACATGATTCAAGATCATTTTATTCAGGAACCCTAGGATACAAATAGAGCTGAATGGATACAGATAATTCAATCAAAAATTGGCATGCAATTTGAATATTTCTACCCTTCAACTATAAGCTTAATTAAGATTTGAATACGTTACCACTTGCGGAACAAACAAATATGCGAAGTAACTCGTAAAAGTTGCAAAGAACTATGACTAATTGAAGTTGAGCCTTTCTTTATGAATTTGAATTGCAGCTCTGTTCACATTGTTACAGCTAAAATCGCTGGAAAAAGAATGGGGAAAATCTGCAACTCGGTTTCGCCGGAGAAGCTCGCCGGAAAAATGGATGGCAAGTTTGCAGCGGAGGGAGATGAGTAGTCGTTGATCCAATTGGGCCGAGGAAAAGGATTTTTGAAAATTTTATTGCCCTAGCTACTCAACTTTCACTTTAATTAACTCCAATATACAAAATTACCAATTATGTACACTATTAGAATTTAATCATAATTAATCAATTCCTACGGCGTACAAATCCGACTCCCCTCTTGTTTCTCTCTCCGAATCCCACTCCTCCCACGTTTCTCTCTCCACGTCCTACCCCTCACCCATCTATTTTGCACAAGAGAGTAGCAATTACACTATTGGCAATTATTAAAAAGTTTTGAAGCTTTAAATTTGAATTTAAATTTTTAAAAAATATTATTTGTTTGAATTAGGTGTTGTTGCAAAGAATTGAGATTCTCTCTACGTCTCTCTCTATCTCTCAATCCCTATTTTTGGTAATGTAAAGCAAAAGAAAAAAGAGTGACAATTTCATTATTGAGAGTCATTAAAAAGTTTTGAATTCGAATGTGGGTTTTTAAAAACCATTATTTGTTTGGATTGGGTGTTGTTGCAAACAATTGGGAATATGGGTTGGAGTTTATATGTCAATTTTGAGGGTGTTTTGGTGAAGATTAGACTTGATTTTGGCTGAATTTCAAATTGAAACTCGAAGAAGAAGATGACGACGATATGACATACATTATACTTACGAAATTGTAGTACAGTTGTAGTAAAATTGTAAAAAAAATTATATTATGTTGTTTATATTTTTTTATTTAAATATTGTATGAAAGTTGAACAATACTTGTATAAAATTGTATTTAATTTGTATGATATTGTAGTTATATATAACTGGATAGAAATAATGTACGAAAGTTGTATATGAGTCTTAGATAAGTCGTAGATAAGTTGTATAATATATAATTAGTTGTGTAAATTTATTTTTACTATATATAAATCAGATACAAAATATACAAAAAGACGTATTGTATAAAAATTATATTTAAGTGGTAGGATATTGTAGTTATATATAACTGGGTAGAAATAATATATGAAAGTTGTAGATAAATTATATAATATATAATTAGTTGTATGAAATTTATTTTTACTATGTATAAATCAGATACAAAATATACAAAAGACATACTACATAAAATTTGTATAAAAATTATATTTACATTGTATAATATTATAGTTGTATATCACCTCACCTCCTATTACTAAAACCAAATAATATCTATTGGGTCCCTACCTCACCTCCTCTTTTTTTTAATTCCACATTTCACACATTTTTTTTGCTTTCCGTCTACTTAGCTTTTACTGGTGTTGATTTGAGTTGTGTCTTTTAATAGCTACATTTGTTTTCTGGTGTATTTTGTTTTCTTGAGAGTTACTCGTTTGGAGTAAGACATTTTCGGACATCTGGCACCATTTAATTTCGCCGTCGAATCTCGACTAACTTTTCATCCAACGGCTATTGTAGGTATCAGTATATCGTAAGAGAGAGAGGGGAATATGTGGAGCTTTTTTGGTTTGATCTGGGTCCATTGTTTCTCTGCTCTGTTGATTTATAATCTGGGTAGTTGATACTGTGCATTTTATTCCCTTTTTGGTAAATGCTGATTTGTTCATTTTGACATCAATTAACTTGGGTTCTGCGTAGTTCTCATCAATTTTTGGGTGTACTTCATCTTTATTGATGTTATAAGCTGGGATTCGATGCAGCAAATGTGGTTTAAATTAGCAACTACATTTACTTGGGAACAACTAAAGGAATTCCCCAGGTGAAGCATACCGCACCCTATTTTGAGATTGATTGAGAATTTTCTGGATATTCTATTATAGGTTAGGCTCTGTGAACTCCAATTCAAAAATCAAATACTACAATTCAGATCATTCATTTCAGTGTTTGGGAATTGCCATTTGTGAAAAGGGTGGTAGATCGGGAGAGAAAGGGCAAAGATGAGAGAAAAAAGGAAAAAATATAACTAAATCTCTTGATTCAAGGCACAAATAATGAATTTGAGGTGGATTATATATGTTGTAGACTAAATATGGGTAGGTCGGGTAATTATGTAAATATGAATATTTTTGGTAATAAAGTTTCTAATTTTGTATAGGTATGAAAAATCCCTTTGCACAAATGGTCATTATGTCTTTTTTCGGGGTAAGTGCACGGACATCCATTCTGGATGTTATTTACAGATTAGTCGGTATTTATTCTGTCTTGAAATTTTAACCAAGAAATCTTAATTTCAGGACAATTCAGGATATTTTTGTCCTAAAAAACTAAAAGTAAGGACACACTGGTTAATTCTTAAATAGCAAGCAAGGACACACTGGTTAATTCTTAAATAGCAAGCCTTTATAGTTGCTACCTAGTGTCATTTCTACATTTTAGTTGCTACCTAGTGTCATTTCTACATTTTTTTTCACCAAGTATAACTATCTTTTCTCAAAAATCGAAAAAAACTTTTCGATAATATTTTTTTACTCTATTTTTTTATTTTTCACTCTAACAAATAATAATCCAATTAAAAGAGAATGACCCAACCCAAAATCTATATACATAAGTCACAATAGTGCTAAAAGTGAATCTTTCCCCTAAAAGATACGATACTTTTATCTTCCTTTTTTTTCTTTTCAGTATTTTCATTGAAGATAATAAGCGCAAGTTAAAAGATGGGGTTATACTTACGTCTCATATTCCATTTCTCCGGAAATGGCATGCTTTCAGTTGGGATTAGGTCTGAGGTCTTTACTCGGACAAATCGGCTCATCCAACCCCGGTCATTGTCCTCATCTATGCTCGAGAAAGTTGTCTTGAAGGCCCGACGTTGAAGCTTTATTAGCCCCCTCGATAAAGTCAGGGGCTATATAACCATGTAAGGTAGTCGAGGGTAAAGGGAAGCCCGTCGACTTGGCTCACAAAGAAGCGGAGCAATATCACTATTCTCCAAAAGAAGGGGTGAATTTGGCCGAGGGTCACTTCATACTTCTTGCAGAAGTCCACAATAACTGGGTCCAAGGGGCCCAATGTGAAAGGGTAGGTGTAAACACTTAGAAACCCCTCCGCATACGTAGTGATTGACTCCTCAGGCAAGAGCACCACCATGTGCTTGTTTAACTAGTTGCGATCCTTTTTAACTTGGTCTAAGAGGCCACCGGTGATTGTGCATATGTACCTCGATATTGGCTCGCATCGGCCAGGAACCGAGGGGATCTTTTCAACCTTGAAGTCAGAGTCAAGGACGTACAACGGAGGAAAGAATTATTCAGGGCGTGGGTCCACCGCTGGTTGTTCGTCGACCAGTTGAGGCAAGGAAGCTTTTTCTTTCTACGGACCGGTTTTACATGTTTTGGCCATCTTGTTTTTGTGAACAAGGAAGAACATAGATTGGGATATTTGGTATTTTGGGGAAAACAAATAAAGAAAGGCTTGGGAATCTGTAGAAGGCAAAGGAATATGAAGATTGAAAGTAAAGTTTAAGCAAAAGAAGGAAGATATATTTATAGGTTGAAGGCGCCGGTTCACTACCGGTGGTGGCCGACCATCAACTAACAAGTATTAAATGCCTAGAGAACTGCATCGACGGGATATTTTGGTCACCTCTATCGCTTACATCACGGTGATGATGTCATGACAAATCGGGGTAAAGATCGAGGACTCAATTCGTTTCTTGCCATTATACTCCAAAAAATGAGGAGACTATCTGTAAACGGTTAAAATTAGGCCCACCCAATTTTACTGATTAACCGAGACCAGGGGGATGGATCGAGGATCGATCCCATAGTATATCAGAGCAAGACATAAGGATAAGGTACTAAGTTCGGGATTCGAAGTACCTGTCGAGATCAAGACCAGTAATGATCGAGACCAAACGGAATAGACATCGAGCAAGATCGAAGATAGCATAATAACGAAAATGCGAGATATTTGTGACTGGCCGAAGATCATGACGGAAATCTCGGAACAGATCTAATCAAGAGCTGTTATTTAGCTAATCATGGGGTTTCCTTTTGTAATTAGAATTGTACCATAATTGGAATTCCTCTACTATATAAAGGGAGGTTCTAATCATTTTTAACCATCATACATTCTCGCATATCAAAGCAATACAATACTTTTTCTCTTGTTCATCAGTTTATTTCATATTCCATAAATCTATTCTCAGTCGGTTCGAGGGCGATCTAGCTCGAGGGTTGAATTGTATTTCAATACGGGTTTGCTTTACTTTACTGTTAATTTCTACTATTAATCATCGTATTTATCTACCGGTGCTAGGTGAAATTACGTATCCTTAAAACCACTTATAAATTTAATTGTTATTCGATTTTAAGGGTAAACAGTGTGTAAGGTCCTAAACACTAATCTAACAAAGTTTGTATATGTGATAAGGTGAATAAGCACAATATGTGTTAAGTCAAATTTTCTTAGTTATTAGGGAACCTATGGATTCCACTGCCAACATAAATTAGACTTGGCATTAACAAATGAACATGTTTAAGGAGAAACTTTTGTCTTGATTCAACACCTAGATTCTGGAATGATAGGATGAATAATTGTCTTCTCTTCTCTGTTTGCATTAGCTAAAAGTCAAGCATGAATAAGCTTTATGTGGTAATTATGAGATACTCCTTCTTTTTCAATTTAGATGACACACTTTCTTTGTTAGTCCCTTCAAAAAAGAATGACACATTTTTACAAGGAAAATAATTTAACTTTAAACTCTTCATTTTACCTTTTTCAATGAGAAGCTTTTATAAACACACAAATACCATGACCCATAAAACTTTTACCCCTTAAGCTTTTAAGACCACAAGTGTAACGACCCGATCGGTCGTTTTGATTTCTAGGTCCCCGTTCCCCAAATAAGACTTCCCGTATGTGCGTTTTGCTATTTTATGACTTGTGGGGATGGTTGGTTTAGGTTTGGAAGGGTTCGGGTTGAAAGCGGAACACTTAGTTCCTTGATAGTGGCCTAAGATGGCCAAGTTTGACTTGAGTCAACATATTTAGTAAATGGCCTCAGAACTGGGATTTTATGGTTCCAATAGGTTTGTGTGATGATTTTGGACTTGGGCGTGTGTGCAGATCGGGTTTCGGATGATCCCGGGAGCATTTTGGCGCTTAATGTTGAAAGTTGGCACATTGAAGGTTTTCTAGTTCTTTAAATTTGGTTTGGAGTGGAGTTTGGTGTTATTGAGGTCCATTTGGGAT